CAGGGGAATGCTGGGGCTATCACAGCTGTGGTGTCACTGCCAGTGGAACGCTGGGGCTGTCCCGGCTGTGGTGTCACTGCCAGGGGAACGCTGGGGCTGTCGTCCCGGCTGTGGTGTCACTGCCAGGGGAACGCTGGGGCTGCTGTCCCGGCTGTGGTGTCACTGCCAGTGGAACGCTGGGGCTGTCCCGGCTGTGGTGTCACTGCCAGGGGAACGCTGGGGCTGCTGTCCCGGCTGTGGTGTCACTGCCAGGGGAACGCTGGGGCTGCCCTGCTCCTGCCCCACCCCATCAGCTCTGCCAGCGCCTCCAGGGGACACAAAGGCTGAGCCAAAGGGTGAGAGTTGCACAAGGGGCTGAGCTGGGATCTGGGACCCATTGGGATCATGGAGTCCAGCCCCCAGCCCTGCACAGACACCCCAACAATCGCAGCCTGTGCATCCCTGGCAGCGCTGGCCAAAGGCTCCTGGAGCTGCGGCAGCCTCGGGGCCGTGCCCATTCCCTGGGGAGCCTGGTCAATGGCCGAGCCACCTGTAGAAGAAGAAGCTTTTGCTGATCTCCAGCCCAGCCCTGCCCTGGTTCAGCTGCAGCCATTCCCTCGGGTGCTGTCCCTGCTTCCCCAGGGCAGAGATCGGAGCTGCCCTTGTGCTGCCCCGCTGCCACTCGGGAGGAGCTGCAGCCCCCAGGGAGTCCGAGATCCATCTGCTGGGCTGCAGCCAAACTGACTCGGTGCCTGCAGAGCTCGGGGGAAAGGTCCCGCCCTGCTGGAGTCTGGAATACAGTGTGTGCCCTTGTTTCTGATACTTAGTTATAAGATCCATAAAAACACTGAATTTCATATAACATGAAATTCATGAGCATGTTTTCATGGTGATACATGAGAACAAATGTTAAAGTTAGATAGAAAAAGCTAAAAGTGTAAGTGTGTAGATTAGAAAATTTTCTTAAATCACTGGGTGAAAAAGTTAGTTTAGAGAACAAGAGACAAGATGGAGGATTTAGGGTGTTGTCTCTTGTCCCTTCTTCTTTCTTCTTCATGTTCTTCTCCTAGAGGTTTTTGGGTAATAGTAAGTGATTGGTTAGAAAATGCCACAGTGCAGCACATAGGTGAAGGGTCATTGGGTCATTAAGAAAAATAATATACGTGTCTATTGTTAATTGGGTAAAAATAGGTATAAAGATAAAAGAACTGCATATTTCGGGGCCATTTTGTGCATCAGACACGAGGTGTGCCACAAGGCCTTTGTTTGTACCATCAGAAGAAAGAAATGTACCAGATTGCAAAGATTAACCTTGTGTAGCCAACCTGGAAAGACCTGTTAAGTTTTGTGATTACCTTTTAATAAACACGAGAAACAAGATTCTGACGAGCTCGGGAGCTTTCTTCAAATCATAAGAACTGAGATAAGCAGGGCTCCCCACAAGGGAGGATCCCAAAAGAATTCAGTCCAAAGGAGGCTGAGAAATCCAGGAAGAAAAAAAAAAAAAAAAAACAGAAAAAATGAAGCAGGATCAGAGAAACAGAAAAAAGATTTTTTAGAGAAGTTACACTGCCCCTCCCCTGTCTCTTTCTTAATCACCGCAGGCAATTTTTGGTGCCTTGCTGAGCTTCTCCTTTTGTGATTCTTTGTAGTTTTGCATTATATAAATTACACAATTCCTTAAATTGGTGTCTGTGTCTTCAGTGCTAACCCTGCCCACTGGTGTAACAGGGCCCCCTCCTGCCCAAGTGTTACCTGGGAATACAAGAAGCATCACTTCAAATGTCCCCTCCTTTCTACCTTCTTCCCCCCATGTTACACACAGAGAGTGATATCCTACGGTCTGGGATATCCCTGGGGTCAGTTTGGGTCACTTGTCCTGGCTGTGTGAAAGGCCTCGTCTCTGCAAGCTCAGCAAGAGCAAAACCATCTCTGTGTGATCAGCCCTGTGCTCAGCACCCGACCCCAGCAGTGTCTCAGTGCCAGCATCCGTGGCACCAGTCCTCACAAGAGGTTTCCATGGCAACTGCCAGGACAGGCAACCCAGGTGTGGTGTCCCAGTGAGGGCTGCCATGGAAACAGGTGCCAGCACTGACCCTTTCTGTCTGGCTGAGCTGACCTTTGGCCCTGGCAGTGGCGTTTGCTGCTGGTTCCACGACGCCTGACCAGCCAGCGCAGCACAGGGCAGGTGGCCGTGGCACAAGCCCCCAGCAAGGGGCTCTGTCCTCTGGCTCTGGGCAGTGACAGCAGCATCCATGTCCATGTCCAGTGTCCATGGTAACAGCCCCTTGCAATAGCCCAGTGCAGGTTGGGATGATAATCCACCCTCACAGCTGGCCCAGGGCAGCTCTGCAGTGCCCTTCCCCACAGCCTGGCTGCACAGAAACACTTCCAGGGCTCTCTGCATTTCCCTTCCCTCGCTCCTGGGTCACTGTCCTGGGGTGTCACACACCTCACTTGGTGCTTTCAGCTGAAAGGAGTTCAAAGTTGCTCTGTCCTTCAGCATTTGGTCTAATTCTGCCCTAAACCAACTCAGGATTTGTGTTTATTGTACAACTTCCTGCATACTGAGAGGGATGATGGGTTTGTCTTTACAAACAAGCTGTGGGTCTGCTATCACTGAGAGATAGCAGAAACAAAAGGATGGACTCCACTGAAAGATGAAAGAGGCACTGAGGAAGCACCACGAATTCCACAAGAGTTAAGAATTAAGAAGGGATTAATTAATGCTCCTGCATTGGGAGCAGGGGAGATATCCCAGGTATCTGGCATTCCAGGAAGTCTGTACCTCTCAGGTACCTCAGCCTATGGGGAAAGAGAGAAGGAACATGCGGCTGGGAATTAGGACAAAAGGGAGGCTGAGCCCTCCAAACATATGAGAGACCCCAGAGGAATAACAAAATATTTATTTTATTCAAATAAAGTAAAAGGACTCCTCTGTCTCCTTTTTGGACATAAACCTCTGGTGTTTGTGGATTAATTTTCCTGACAATACCTAAAACATTCCTTGCATGGTTCTGCCTTGGAGGCAGCTTGGCCTTGGAACACACCTGAGAAGGGTGTCCGTTTCCAATGGGGAAACTCAGGAGTTTTAAATTGCTTCAAAAAATAAAAGAAGAAAACCCCTCTTTGCCTGCATACAGCCAGTTCTCTGAGCAAAGCAGGTCCTGGGTGAGTGAGGAGAGACAGGATGGGGCTGGGGAGTGTGCAGCAAGGTTGTCCACACTAGGACAGACAACAAGGAACAGCTTCTCTGAGCAGGCCAGACCCCCTTAGGAGAGACCCTGGATCAATATCCATCACTGAATGCTGCAATCACCTCTGCTCTAAAGAGAACAGGAATAAATTGCACACTTTAAAATAGTAATATGTTTCCTAGAAGATCGTTGAAATATTCCTCCATACCTGTAGTAGGAAATTTTCCCAATGAACTGCACCAGACCAGAGAGAAATCAAGGCAGTGCCATGGTTTGTTAGGACTTGCTTCATCCTAATGAGCCCCGTGGTGCATTTGGAACTGACCCCCTGAACCTCAGGACCTGAGAGGAGATTGCACAAACCTTTCCAGGAGTCAGTCAGAGGAAAAACCCAAAGTGTCTCAAAGTATTAATGGGTCCCACTGAGGTCCATCCCCAGCACAGGCTCCTTATGGACTCCTTGGAGAAGAGAACTGGAAGCCGGGATTGCATAAAAACCCCTCAAGCGACTCAGTGTGGGAAGGAAAATCCAAAGTACCTTAAACACCTTGAGTATCTCAAAGCATTAATAGCTCCACTGAGTGTCAATGTAAAGCTCTTAAGGGACTCATTAAAGCAGATAATTGGGACCATGATTGCACAAACCTCCCACAGAGTCTGTATCAAAAGGAAAACACCAAGTACCTTAAAAGATTGAAGTACCATGATCCATTAATGAGCCCCACTGAGTGTTGTTACTGACAAAGCCTCTCAAGGGACTAATTAAAGCAGAATTGGAGGCCATGACTGCACAAACCTCTCAGAGATGCCAGTACAAAAACAAAACCCAAAGTCCTTTGAAAACTCTGCAGTCCCTGGGAGCATTAAGGAGCCCCCCAGGGCCATTCCTGACAAAGGCACCTCAGGGGATGTGAGGGATGATGGATTTGAGGGAGTTGAGGCTGCCTGGGAGGAACTTGGAGGTTGCTCAGGGCTTTGGGGACCCCAGGACGAGCAGCTCTGGCTGTGCTGGGAGACCCTGGTGGAGGTTCTGGAGAGCTGCTCAAGGACCCCCTGTCCCAGAACTGTCCCCATGTCCCCCGGTCCTGGTTCCACCACCCAGGATTCCCCTCCCCACGCTGTCACTCCTCTTGCCTGTTCCCATGTCATCCCTCTCCCGGTCCTGTCCGGATCCCATCCCAGTCCGATCCCATTCCCAGCCTCAGTCCCTGTCCCATATTCTGTCTGGTTGCCGTTCCCATATTCCCAGTCCCATATTCCCCGTCGTGTTCTTATTCTCCTATTCTCGGTCCCGATTCTGCATTTCCTTTTCTATATTCCCTGTCCAGTTCCCATATTCCCAGTCCTGTTGCCGTATTCCCGTTTCTGATCCTGCTCCCATCTTCCTAATCCTCAGCCCATATTCTCTCTCTGGTTGCTGTTTCCATATTCCCTGTCCAGTTCCCATATTCCCATTCCCGGTCCCATTCCCGCTCCCTATCCTGTGTTCCCGGTCCTATTCCCGGTCCCTGTGCCCATTTCCGGGCCCATTCCCGGTCCCTGTCCCGTATTCCCGGTCCCTATCCCATTCCCGGTCCCTATCCCATTCCCGGTCCCTATCCCATTCCCGGTCCCTGTCCCCTCTCACCAGACGCTGCCGCCATCGCTCCGGCCCCCTCCAGCGCTCACGTGACCAGAGAAACACCGGAATGCTCCCACCCACCAATCACAGCGCGCGATCGCTCCTGTATTTGCATAACCACGCCCTTTCGGCTTGGCCACGCCCACCGCGAGCTGTAGTCCTGTCCGGGCGCTGTTTCCTCCCAGTTCCCGCCAGTGCTCCCAGTAAGAGCCGCGCTGGGAGGGAAAGTGCTCCCAGTTCCTTCCCGGTGCTCCCAGTAAGAGCCGCACTGGGAGGGAAAGTGCTCCCAGTTCCTTCCCGGTGCTCCCAGTATCGCTCCCAGTGCCGCGCGAGGCGGGGCCGCATTGGGAGACGCCCCAGGGCAGAGCTCGGCTGCTTTTGTGTGTCGGCAGCTGCCCGGGCCGGCCTGGGAGAGGAGGAGGAGCGGGAGGAAGAGGAAGAGCAGGAAGAGGAGGAAGAAGAGCAGCGGGAGGAAGAGGAGCGGCAGAACCACGCCGTTTCCCCGCCCGCCCGCAGCTTCCCCGGCTCCAGCAGCATCACCTGACGCCCCCCCGGAACCCGCAGGTGAGCAGGGAGGGGGAGCTCGCCCTAAATCCATCGTGGGAGTCTCCGGGAGGGTTTTCTTGCGGGGCGGGGGATTTTGGACCTTGCAGGACCGCAAAACTGAGCAGCAAATGCCCTTTGGGGAGGTCCCACGTGGCGATCGCCCGGTACCGGTGGGCAGAGGGGCGATATCGGATTTGAGGATCCCTGGAAGAGCCGGGGGAGAGCACAGAGGGGCGATCCCGGAGCCAGGAAACCCCTAAAGCCTGCAGGGGTGGGGGAGGCTGGGATGAGCAGGGTCCGGCCCCCCCGAGACTGAAAGGGCCGGCGACTTCTCCAGCTGGACTTCGGCAGCGGCATCATCAAACCCAATGCGCTCAGCCCTTTTTTCCCCCCAAACCGGGATTTCCCATTCCCAAACCTTGGCCCGATGGAGGTGGAGGCAGCTGTGAGGAAGAGAAAGATGTCCCGGGAGCCCCAGGCAGGTGAGGAGGAAGTCACTGCCTCTTTCCCCATCTTTCCTGCTCCATCTCCCAGCCCAGCACGGCCCCCGGCTGCAGGACAATGTCCTGCCTGGGATGCTTTGGGGGCATCCCCTTCCCTCTGGCACGGAGGCAAATCCTATCCTCTCCTTGTCCTTCCTCCCCCAGACAAGGAGCACTTATAAATTAAAAGCTAGGACTTGCCAATACATCAAGCAATATACTAAATTTATTAATTTGTTCAATAAAAGAGTGATCAATGACAGGTCTGGGTGCACAGAGGTCTCTGCCCCAGGCAATGCACAAATTCAGATCTCAAACTTAGCCTCATATACCATTCTAGGCACTTCACTTCCTCAAATTTTCAGTTATTTTCTACTTCTTTTTCTTCATAATCAGCAGTTGTGGTTTTTGAAGATGTGTTGGGGAGGTGGTCTGAGATGGTCTTCTAATGTCTCTCCAGCCTCCCATTCTTCTTTTAAAATATCTTTCTTCCACTAGCATTATTTTTGGTTATACAGTTTGTTTAAGCAAGCATACATATTCTGTTAGCATACATTTTGCAAGCCTTGTTTCATTCATTTCACAACCTAAAGCTAGCATGTCTAAAAAATGTCTTCATAGGGCCTCTTCCTCAGTTATAGTCAGCATGTTTTAAAATGCCTTTGTAGAGCCTTTCAGCTCATGTTAGTCCTACTTACCCTTTTTAAATGATTAGAAATTCTTTCATATTCAAAAAAAATTATAACTTGTACAAAAGATAGCTTGAAACTTATTGTACAAGTTAGTTTGAAGTTTATATTAATTGCTTGCAAGTAATTACAGTTTTGTTGTTAAATTATTAGCTAAAAGTTTACTGTTATATAGTTACCTTGTTAAACCCTACTCCCATGCCTTACTTGTTTTCTCCTAAAATTTTAAATCCACTGTTTTCTCCTAAAATTACTATGCAATTTTTAACGTTTTCCTTCCAGCTTGGCCCATTAGGAATATCATGGCTTCTTCCTAGCTACAGTATTGGTAATGAAGTTTTTTCAGCTGATTTTTAAAACTCTTCTTTATAATAATCCCATAGTCTCTGTCCATAATGCCCACAGACACACATATATAGGTGGATGCTATTCAATTGACACAAATTACAACCTGATTTCTCACAGAGCTGAGGATGGAGACACGGGAGAACAAATCCCTGCAGCAGAACCTCATGGAAGACGCCGTTTTGAGCAGCTCCATGGCTCAGGAATCCAATGGGGAGGAAAATCCCCAGAGATCCCTCACAAGGAGGGGCTGCAAACGCAGATCACAGGGATCTGAGGGGGTAAGAGCCACCTTGGGCCAGAGAGGCGACTGGAGCTCGGAGCTGGGGGTCCATGAGAAGCTTCACAATGGAGAGAAGTCCTACAAGTGCTCTAAATGTGGGAAGAGCTTAAGCCAGAGATCCTCTCTGATCCGCCACTTGAGAATCCACACCGGGGAGAGGCCCTATGAATGTGAGAAATGCAGGAAGAGATTTCATTACAGATCCACTCTCCTCAGGCATCAGCAGACTCACACAGAAGAGAGACCCTTCTGCTGCCCCGACTGTGGGAAGGGCTTCAAGCTCAACTCCGCCCTTGTCACCCACCGGCGCATCCACACCAGGGAGAGGCCCTACGAGTGTGGGGAGTGTGGGAAGAGCTTCACCCAGAGCTCCACCCTGACTGCCCACCAGAGGAGACACACAGGGGAACAGCCCTATGAGTGTGCTGAGTGTGAGAGGTGCTTCAGGACGAGCTCTGAACTGACTGTCCACCAGAAGATCCACACAGGGGAACGGCCCTACGAGTGTGGGCAGTGTAAGAAGAGCTTCAGACGGAGGTGCCACCTGCTCCGCCACATGGGAGTGCACACAGGGGAATGGCCCTATGAGTGTGGGGAGTGTGGGAAGAGCTTCAGGACGAGCTCTGAACTGATTGTTCACCAGAGGAGCCACACAGGAGAGAGGCCTTATGAGTGTGATAAATGCAGGAAGAGGTTTCACACCAGTTCCCATCTTCTCCTGCACCAGCGGATTCACACAGAGGAGAGGCCCTTCCGCTGCCCCGACTGCAGGAAGGGCTTCAGGCAAAACTCTGACCTTATCAAGCACCGGCGCATCCACACTGGGGAGAGGCCCTACGAGTGTCCTGAGTGTGGGAAGAGCTTCTCACAGAGCTCTAGCTTGACCCAACACCAACGGAGGCTCCACAAAGATAGCCCTGCAAGTGCCCCAAATACAGGAAGAGCTCCATGCGCTGCTCCAGCTCCATCCCCCGTGGGAGGATACGCGCTGGATGATCCCCAGTGATGCCTGATGGGCAGAGCCCTGTGATCTGTGGTGCCAGTCATCTGTGTTGGCAAGACACCTGGCTGGGGGACTCCACCTCCTCCTGGCTCCCCGTGGACACCTGGACACATCCACAGACCAACATCAGAAATCCATTGTGGACAACAGAATTGTTAACTTCTGACCCCAGAAAAATCTCACTTTTTGCATCTTCTGGTGGCATCAAGCAACACTGGATGGCCTTGGAGGTCTTCTCCAACATAAATCCATTGTTTTAATTCTCTCTGGCCCACAGGCATCTTCCACAGCTAAACGGGGATGGACTGGGGCAAAACCAATGTTTCTGGAGACAGTGGAGTGGAAATCCCTCAAAAAAAGTTTCTTCTCACCCACTCAAGCACATGGATGCTGTGCTGGCAGGGACACATAAATCCTTTTGTTTTGGCCTTGATTTTCTTTTCTTTTCTACTCATCCCTTTGAAGCCCCCGAAACTGGGGAAAAATAAAGACATTGAACCAAGGCATGGATGGGGACATGTTGGGGACAATGACATTAGTGGGTGGGGACATGGAAATAGATGGGGACACGGGGGACACAGACTTGGAGAGTGTCATGGGGGTGATGCGTAAAGTCTTAGCTTACGTATTATTCAGATTCTGTACTGCCTTGGTGTGTAACTGTGAACTTCATATTAAGTGTTAGTAAGTTCTCTTCACAGGGTAGTTAGACAAAACAGTCCTTTTCCAGCTTGAGAAGCAAGGACAACCGTTACAGCCTCAGGCCCAAAAAGCATAAACAGTGGTGAATTGAAGAGAGCAAACAAGGAGGATGTGACTTCATAACCTGAAGCTGTAATTGGACAATTAACCCAAGTATGTAAATGTATCAAAACTTAGAAAAGTGTGAAAACTTGTGACTGGTAGTCCATCTTGTGTCCATCTCGGGCAGAGCCTTGGCTGGGCTCTTGTACTGCCAAGGTGTATCCTTTAAAGGATAAGGATAAATAAAAGGATATTTAAAGGATAAATATCTACTTTATTCCTTTAACTCTGTCTAGACTCTGCTCCAGGTCAGCCTCTTACAGGCATCAGGGGGACATGGACATGGATGTGCGGAATGTGGATGGGGACACGAACTGGGACAGCACTAGTGCCATCACAGTGCCACCACCACCATCATCATCTTGGCCACACTGAAGTGCTACTCGATGCAGTTCCTGCCACCACATCCCCACTGTCACCACTGTGGTGTCCCCCCCACCTGGGGGGGATGGGGACCTTGTACAGCTGGTGACAAGTGGCCCGGAAATGAGTGACAGCCACCAGGGTGTACCAGGGCCACTGAGCTCACAGGACCCCAACTGCCCCTGGGGACAAACTGGAGACAGGTCAAGAGTCAGTGTCATCCAGGGTGTCACATGGCCTGGTGGCAGCATCCTGATATGTCCTGGTGGCTTCATGCTCTGACATGTCCTAGTGGCATCATCCCCACTTGTGTGGTGACATTGTCCCCTGATGTGTGTCCTGGTGGTATTGTGTCCCCCCCCATCCCTATGTCCCCATCCCATTGTGGCTCTCTGTCATATCTCTGTGTGTCCCTATCCTGCCCCATCTGTCCCTGTCCACCCTTTGAATTCCTGTCCCCATCTCCCCTGTGTGTCCCTGTCCCACTCTGAGTGTCCCTGACCCCTGTCCCCAGTAAGGCCGAAGTCCCCAAGGTCCTGGGGCCATGTCCTGCAGGGTGTCCCCATGTCCCACAGGGTGTCCTTGCGTCCTGCAGAGTGTCCCTCAAGGACGTTCCTATGGCTGCTCCTGGCACTGAGCATCTGCGCCCAGCACAGGTAGGGACATGCTGCAACACCCTGTGACACCTTTTCTGATTTCAGGTCCTTTCCCTCTTACTTTGTGTCATTTCCCCCTATTTTGGGTCCTTTCCCCTTGATTTGGATTCTCTCCCCCAATTTTGGGTTCCCTCTCCTTACTTTTGGCACATTTTTGGGTGCCTCCACCTCCTCTAACCTCCTCCCCACACCTTAAGCCCCCTCACTTCCCACCCCCTGTCCCCCAGCTGTGTCCCCAGCTGTCCCCCTGTGCCACGTGGACTTTGTACTCACCATCCTGAATGCCCTTGAGTCCCCGGTGCGGGGGGGTTCCACTGGCACTGCCACAGCCTTGGGGAGGGTTCTATGAGTCTGCAGCACTCCGGGGTGCTGAGTATTGCTGGGTGAGCCCCCCGGGACCCCTGAACGCGCTCTGGCTCTCACCCCGGGCCAGTGGCAGCTCCTGACCAAGCTCCTCTGCCACGACCCGGTGACTCTAGAGCTGGGGGCAGTGCTGGCCCCTGACGGTTCCACAGTGGCCCTTGGTCCCCTACTCGCTGGCATTGAGGCAGGGCTGGGATCCAGCAGCTTTGGGCGACCCCTCCTGCTATAACTGCATATCTTCTGCATCTCCATAGCTACCTTCCTCCTCGCGGTAGCCGGGGAAGCAGAAAAGATAATATAGCCTTGAACAGAGAATCTAAACCGAGGCCGTTTCCCTTGCTGAGATAGAAGTGCAGCTTTATTTCTTGGGATCCCACGGAGAAGGAGAGCTGGAGGGAAAGAGGAAGAAGTATTTGGGCTCCTACTGGAGACTGGACTCTCCTGGGATCATACAGAGATCACACTGACGCTGTTCTTGGCCGCACCGGAGCTCCAGGCTAGCTCTACGGTGCCACTCCGGCACAGGCAGTCGCCAGGAGTGGGGAACTGCAAGGGAAAGGCGATCCCACTGCAGAACCTTCAGAGCACCGAATCCTGCTGGGCTCTGCCAAATCAGGCATCGTGGGTGATGGCAAAAGGGAGGAGGAGACTCACTCAGCTGTACTTCCCAGAACAGGTTTATTCAGGAGAGGGTATGAGCACAAGGGTCTGGGCTGGGAGAATTCAGGACTGAAGAGAGCCCCGAGCCCCTCTGTGCACTGGCTTTTATCTCAGGGGTGGGCACAGTCCAGGGTCCAATGGGAGCTCACGGAGGGAGGGGTAAGGGGAGGAGGTTACAATGTCAGGGACCAATGGGGATACAAAGAAGGCGGGAATACAACATAACAAACAATAGTGTTTTGAAGAAGGGATGATATACATGGAAGGAGCTGGAAGGAGAGGTGGGGTTTACGATGGTGGATGGGGAGATGAGGCAGGGTAAAGGTCATTGATGGGGAACATTCAGGAAAACTGGGAGGGGTTTACATAACAGACAAATGGAACCAACCAAAGCAGTAAATGGGGGAGAACCAGGAACATACCAAACAGACGAAACACCAACAATTTTAACAGAACTGAATAAACATACCACAACACCCTACCAAGCCTAAAAACTGCCGTAACTTTTTTTTTGTCTGGGGTAATGGCACCTGTAAAATCCCTTGTATTCTTTCTGAATCAATACTCCACAACTCTCCAGTTAGAATGTGTGCTCAATATTTGGCAAATT